TGTAAAATTTTGACATCTCCATATCACTCCTTCTCTCTTGAATTCACATCAACACCGCTAGGAGAGCCAAAGCACAAACTTCATGCACAAACATCACACTTGACATGAATTTTTATTTTGCCCCAAGGAATGCTCCAAGCAGCTTGCTTAATCCAGGTTATATTCAACATCTAGGCTGTTTGGGAAGCTAGAGGGGGTTCTACCCAGCAAAAGGACTTCAGACAAGCTTGTAAAATCTGGTACAGACACACAGTCAAACTTGCTGACCTGCTGTTCCATCAGAGAGCTCAGCTTACTGGCCTGCAGCAATGATCATGACAAGAAGACATGATAACATCAGTATAATAGTTTATGATTTATGATTCTCTGAAACACAGGCTACATTGTTCAGACCTTCACTGAAGGTGTGAGAGTCATCTGACCTGAAACTGAAGCTGATTATTGATGGTTGATTGTGCAGATTGCTTCCTTTTGCTGGTTTGTAGTTTAGCCTTATATCACTCTAGTAATGATAACAGAACAACGACAGAGAATAAAAGTACACGTCTGGGTTGTGTAACAAAATGATTAAATTGAGTGTAACTGGAAAAGATGATTTAATCACACAAATTTAATCACAATAAAGATCAGTAATACAACATGAAATTATGCATGACGACCCGAGTAGACTATCTGCAATCATATCATTGTGATAAAAACTATTACATTTATTATTATTTTAATTATTTAAAATCTAAGTGAAGCCCAAATCCATCCCTTTTCGGAATCCTTTAATTCATGTAAAAGCATGATATTTCCGTCAGACAGAATATGACTGCTCTGAACTTCAGTATCTGGCTGATGTTCCGCAGGTTTCCCGTTTAGAGATGTAAGACTAGTAGGTGAGCGCTTAACCAACCAATCTAATACAAACACCATCATAAACAGCATAATAAAACTGTATGTAGGTCACGTCTTACACAAACACACACTCTGCTCTAAGATAGCCTGCAGCTCTAGATGAATGCAAAAGCATGGAAATTAGGAGAGAACAAAATTCTTCAGAGAAAGAGCACAACATTCCCTCTATAAAACAACAATATTTATGATTACATCAACTAAATAAAATGACCATGAATAATTCTAATAATAAAAGAGAAATGGCTTATATCTTTGAGGCAGTAAGCTGTATGTGTATGTGTGTGTGTG